ACGATTCCAAAATACCCGACAGAAAACTGTAACCATGATATTACGATAATTGGTGTAAATCGGCCTTTCTTTTTAAGCGATTGCAATATCCCAATCATCATCAGGTTATTCTTCAAAAATTACAGACAAAATCTTGAGCGCAACCTGTCGTTTTTCGTATAAAAACTTCTTAAAAATTTCCTAGTGAGTACGGACCACTTCAACATTCCGAAATAGTGACAGGTGCGTTAAGAATTCCCTTCGTTGTGATGTGACTACAAGTCTGTAAGCATCTTGCGATTATGATCTATTTGTTCTGAGTGATTGACAGTCAAATTACACTCTTGGATAATGCATTCTCTTTTTCATTTGTGAAGATTTACGAACCTTTGGTTCATCCAAATCGTCATTCGCGGCTTTAATTATATGGGACCTTTGCAATAGAAAAGAGGGAAACGGATGGAAAAAACAACAAATGAGTTAATGCTAAATCTAGACATATTTTGACCTAAAAATCATATTCGGCATATAAAAGTAAAATTGATTTGTTCCGGCAGTTTCTCCCTTCTATTGCAAAGGTCCCATATTATCTTCATACGACGTACTTGCTTTTTTTCAAAATCGTTGTTATCATCAACTTCATTTCCGATATCTTTACACGATTGTTTTGATGTACTAGCTTCAATAGTCTGCAACTTTAGGTAGATAAAAAAGATAATAAAAAGGATAAAAAAGAAGTCAGTATAATTCTGAGTCACATACCAAAAGTCAAAAGTATGGGGAGTCACCAACAGCACTACGGCTAATTGAGATGGTAACTGATGGTGATTATAACAAGATTTGGCTCGTCCTCGGACGAATGGCATACGCAACAACCAAATTTTGGATGCACACCATTTCAATCCAAGAGTCTGACTGCCGGAAAAATCGCTAACACTTGGGTTCTGCCTCGTAATCACTAACAAAGAGCTACTCCTCAGACAACATTCATAGAATCTATAGAAGGACATTCACAGAGGCCGCTTTCCGTCTGGTTACCTGACTGGAAATTTTCGCAAACTGTAGTCACGAGGTTCTGCACAAAGAGCACTAACCTTATTCAGTTTATTCCTAAAGGATTGTAGCTTCAGATATCTGTTGTCATTCTAGTTATAAACCAAGAGAGCGCATCTATGTCTTTTTTTAAAGCTTGGTGACATTCTTCGACAGTTGCATTTTGATATGTTTTGTAATAAAATTCTTCATATGTTGAAATTTTCTCCAATAAGTGCGCCTACTTGACCAGTATTCCGAAAATGAGACGAATATAAATATTTACTATGGCAATATTAGTTGTATGAAAGGATATGATCGACTTACCAGGACTTGAGAGCTTTTCATTTTTTTTTTAAAAAGTTCATCCATTGTGTAATTGTGAAAAAAGAAATGAGAAAAAAAAAGTTAAAGGATTTAGTTTGAGTCAGTCAA